GGATAAGGATCATATCCATTTTCAATTGTAGTACAATGTCAACATTGCAGTACGATGTCACAGCAAAGACTTGTATATGTATGCATGCTTCCAGTGGTGTGTTCAGGAAACATTGAAGCACCCTATGACATGCATAGCAACAAGAACCTGTACTATGAACCCCAATACATATAAACCCAGTAGTAGTGTGCAGATGTTAATTTGCCTCTATGACCTAACACGTTGAAATAAATCATCGCTACAATTATAACATGTATGAGCAGCGCATTAGGAACTGTGTGAATGTTTTTGAAGACTAGACTGGCACATCCTGTTTCAGTGGACCCATGTCATTTGACATTGATTGACAGCAATTAATTATACAAGCTTAGTTTCATGTTTTTGACCTTTATTTGTCAAAATTATGTGACCCAATCTATCATCTCTAGTTCATAAAAAAATAAAAACACTGTAAAATACTTTATTTTCGCTTGGGATTACAGTACCTAAAGGTCGGAGACAAATTTGATCATTTCTAATCTAAAAAAAAAAAAAAAAAGGCTGATACTGGTTCTCAAGTATCTAGGTTACAGTGGCAATAAACAAATTATTAAACAAACTGAAGCTGAACTCTGACTTGATCACAATTTATATAAGACATTCCATACACTTCATGAATCATAGGTAAAGCAGACAGGCAACAAGACGAGGTAGACAGCAACAAGTATATGGTGCGGAGGTCAGGCTAACCTTGATCAAATAACTGATTGATCAAAAATAAAACAAGATTCGCATTGTACGCTCCTCCCCCAAAACCTTCCATTATTGATACAGGTGAGGTTAAAATGATTCTGAGATTGTCTAGCTTCACACACCACTGTATTTCTGGACTAGAAATGAATCTGAATACAAATGATATGGAGGGAAGGTTGTATACAAGTACAGTTAATACTACCACAGCTACATCACTATATACTTATGATCATCTTAGTGGTCAGACACTTGTCTGGGAGAGACTAACAAACAAATCATTATGCAAATAATATAAAAATTGTTAAAGCATGTATAAGGCATGAGACTCTCAAAGTTCACGTCCAAATTTACTGCATCTGGTTTTTATATTGATGTAGCATATCTGTAGCCTTTATAATTTTATTAATTATTACCTTTGAAAGTTAAACAAAATTGATATTTTTAAGATTGAAAGATTATTGGACTGGGTCAACCATGTGACCTTTGATGATATCATGTGATAATAAGTAAAGCAAACAACACCAATCATCACATGACTAGCTGTCAGTGATTAGGAAATGCCTTTCCAAACTCGCTAGATACATTTTTTTAGACATAATTTTATTTATTTGATTTTGAGAAGCTAGATTTATGGACACTTGGAGTATCAATCATACACTTGGTCTAAGGGGATTTTTCATTGTCACTCAGTACTGCTTTAATTTTAACATGCACACTGTAATACCATGGAAACTCTTTATTCGCGGTAATAAATTGTTTTACAAATTAGCGAATTAGCAGGATACAAACGGAAATTTTTTTGTCCTCCACATGAATTAGCCCTGAAGTTGTCAGCCCCTTGTACTTTTACACTATTAATAAAATTAATTTTGGTTGATTCAATAAAGTGATTCTTTTTTTTTTCAGATGAAAATAAATACACACAGACATAACATTTGCCATGATATGATCTAGCATTGCAGCTTTCAAAGTGTTTTTTTCTTTCTTTATAGTGACTATTGCTTGTTGGTGGCCAGCTGGAAAATTTAGTAGCCAAGTACAAAATTGTTTGCCACCAGAATTTATATTTTACATAAACATAATTAACTACACAGAAAAACAACTATGTAAAAATTTAGATATTTATTCAAGCATACCATTATATGATATAACTTGTGCACAGTAATTATATGCAATTTTCATCTTCTGAAATGCATAGACCAAATTTTCTTCCACTGTCAAGACTGTTTTGTCTTAGATTCAGCAACATTCAGACTCTGACTTTATGGCAGGCTGCATTTCATTTTCAATATTGGATAACATGATGTCCCTTGTATCGCCCAACACTGATTCATTAATACGATGAGATTCCCTTTCAATCACATTGTTGTTTTAAAGCATTTTTTTTCTTGCCACATGCTGTAGTTACGCATATGTCGTAATTAAAACAAATTCACGTTGATAATGATTTCCGAGCTATGTTTTGCTTAACAAATTAGTTGCGTTCACGCACAGCTCCTTAGCACTGGCTAAGAAGTCAAATTCCTTAGCCCATGCTAAGAAAACGTGCGTGAAAGCTTAGCACGGGCTAAGGAATGCTAAGTACGGGTTAAATCTGATCCGAATTTAAGACGCGGTCTAGACCTTAGCACAGGCTAACGAAGTATACGCGAACGCTTAGCCCAGGGCTAAGCGCCCTCTGCGGCGACCTTTGGGTGTGAAAATTGTCCCATGTTCGTATAACGACACTATTCCACCAGTCATTACTCCGCGCTCGCTTCCACACTAATCGGGTCACTGTAGTAGTAGAGCGTACAGCAGCTCCAATCGTAGACAAAATAAATTTGGTTCGCTGTCTACGACATGCATTAATAAAACTCTGTATTCTGTTACGACCGTTATATACTGTTTATGTGCATCCAAATAAGTTGGGTCCGTCTTCTCTCGCGTTCCTGTGCACGTCGCTTCAAATTTAGAACGAAACATGCCAGCAGCAGAAATAGAACCTCGCGCGTGTCATCCATTTTTCGTTCGTAAATAGCGGCTTACCAAAGGTCACCGACTAATGGCACCCCTTAGCCCATCCATGCTAACGACTGGCCCTCCCTGTGTGTGGACGCAATTGGGTCTAGCCGAAATGCAAATATGCTAGATAAGCCTAAATCAGCTTAAATCTTAGCCCGTACTTCGCGTAACGTGAACACAACTATTGGAGTGCAAATTAAAAGGATACTAATTTAAACCTTTTAAATACATAAACACAGAGGATTAAAGATAAATAGTTTTTTTTAAATGAATTGGGTGCGAAAATGTAATAAAGACCTCAAGTTATATGATACTATAATGTCTATTGTACATTTCGTGAGAATTTCTTTTTAAATTTTGATTACTTGTCATACCCCAGACCATTCGTCCCGGTGTTATCGCTATCGCCACACGAGACTCCAGCTTGTCTCCTATACAATTTGACTGCGCACATCCAGAAAGTAGATGTAGCTGTGATTGGTGGAATACTAATGAGTTGAGTGTCAATCAAACGCCCACGCTATCTTTAGTAAACAAAGTCACGTGACACGCGCCATTTTAGTTTTGATTAGTTCATCGGATCGGAGTGTCGTCGCCTAGTACATATGAACGGTCGTCAATGCAAATCGAACATCCTTTTGAAATTTGGACGTCGGGCAGGCGATTTCAAGGCACCGCACTTAAATATTAGCAACATATTTTTCTGAGCGGTTGTTTATTCTCTTTCAAACGAGACATAAATGTGACGACATAGTCGATCCCTTATCCACCGCTAAGAATGCCACAATGTTTCGTTCGTTTTGCAACATGCCACAAATCGTCGAAAAAAACACCACTTCGACGGAAGCTTGCGTAATAAGGGGGTTAAAACAAGAAAACAAATGCCATGTTTAATACATATCGACCTGTTTTACTTGCGAAAGATAACGGAACATGAACTCGTTTCGTGCGACTTCGGAACCCGAAGGAACACACCAACAACGTTGAATTTACCCGCTATCTTCCAAATATGGTATATTAATTTATTCAGTTGTTTATTTAGAGTGATGTCCGAGGTCGAATGCGATTGGCTATCGATGTCAGTGCAAAGGTCATATGAATATTAAAATTAAGTGGGCGGAAGGAAAATTGTATAGGAGACAAGCTGGAGTCTCGTGTGGCGATAGCGATAACACCGGGACGAATGGTCTGGGGTATACTTGTCATGACATGAAGTTTAAGTGACACATGTATGTGTGCTTTCAATAAGCTTTACACAATAATATCTATACAAATGTCAATGACATAGTACCAGTACTTTCCTTTCAGTGCTTGGTGGACTTTGAAACGTATCACATTATGTAGTTGACATGCTCAACTTGAAAATGAACTTTGCAAAGTTTTCATTCATATTCTAAAGATTTGAGTTTTAAATGCTAAAGCAAAATTGTGAAAGTTTTGTGGAAATGATATCTGATATGTGTTTCTGGTTGTTTATGATTGCCTTAATATTTTGATTTTGTCAAGAATGGTATCACTGCGTCACGGGACATACTGTATTATTACTAGCGAATGGACTTAACTAAACGACAAGGGCCGTGTATAATCAAGTATTTTTAATGACCCTGTATACAATACATGCAACTATTGGTTTATATAAGTTTCAATTAATGATACGCTTCTAATGGAGCAAATACGGTATGTCAGGTCATAACTCTATACTGAGAATTATGTATATGTAGTGACAAAAGTCGTGAGTTGAGTATGGTTATTACTGACCCAACTAATGATCATTCTGAAACGGACAAGTAATACTGATACTGTAATCAAATACAGTTGTGTGTCTCTAGAGTTATATTATTTTCCCAGGTTTTATCTAAATTTTATTCATCTCTTTGAATGATACCTTTTTTCCTGCTAAAATTCTGGAGAATATTTTGAATTTTTCTTTAAACATTCTGTTAATTTTTGGGCCAAGTTGACATACTTTCTTATTGCACATATTAGGAAGTCTTGATCACAATTTTGTAAAAGCGGACTGTTTTTTAACAGTTTTTCAATGTCAGTTTTGTAATGAATGTCTAATAAATTACATTTCAACCAAACAATAAGCAAAAATAAAAACACTGTAACGAGCTATGTGCACCTTTACATCATTGTGCATTTAAAAAGTTGAAATAAGTATGTATTACAGTGAATGTGAAATAAAAATGTTTCCATGACCTGACTTAACAGGACTAGCCTCTGATATAATAAATATAAATCTCAATGAAATGAATTATTACCTTTTCAAGTAGTGTTGGTATGTTGAGAGCATTAGTAGCAAAACCCATACCAAAGACCATTGCCGCTTCCTGACCTACAAACTCAGCAACAAGTTTCTCTAATTCCAAGTGGATATCTAAGTTACCTTTAGAAACGAAACAACACCAGTTAAAACAATATCTTGCATGCAGTTCTCAAATGTGAAGATAAAATACACTAGCGCATGTTTTTGTATTCTAAACACATTCACACACTGGTACACTGTCACAAAAGCTACACAAAATGTCTTTTATTTAGTTTTGGTAGTGTCTGTGTGATTATAATGAGCTTTTTTTAGATTGTATTGAAACTATAAACTGCTCTCAGTAGCTTGTCTGTTTCCCATGTTGAATAAATAACTAAGAAATATAAATGTGGGTGAAACATGTTATACATGTACCCAATGCACTAAGATATATAATGAAGAAAATAGTAGTAAATTACAATGTCAATGATAACAATAAATTATCCATAAGTTCTATTGTAATTGGACATATTCACTGCAGATTTCATTAATTACCAAAAAGAGCGAAATTGAAAGCTAGTGAATAAATTTAGTACTGTCAATAATTTGGCTCAGTTACAGAAATTGATAATACTATATAAATATTGCAGATTTCAAGCCAAATTGAGCCTACTGGATAAACATGAGTTAAGAAATATTTGAATTCAGATTACAATGCTTATATAGAAGTAGAACAGAGTAAAAACATTACATATAAGAGTACCAGTATTTTTTCACAAAAATATACATGATACCGGTAATGCAAGTTCTGGGGCCTAGGTACATTCTATAATAACATGGATGTGAAAGTCTTGGAAGCCAGGGAAGCAGTATTTTGTATACAGGTGAGGGATTGTAATAGTAAAGATATAGAGCAACATGATTAAAATCTGAACAGATATTAAATGTAGCAGTTCCTTTTTCCTCGTAGAAAGTTATGCCAGCCAATAAAAGCACATGTTGATATTGGGTTATAGTGAGTATTCTATCAGGGCCAAATAGAATAAAATAGAAGGAACAGTTGAAACCAGTGGTAAAAATGGACCACAGCTAGTTAAGATAATTGCCAGTGAAGCAAAGCAATGCACTGATGTCATTCGTCACAAAGCGAGCTGGGAGAGATTACTCATAGCATTACATACTCACAATACAAACCCACCCACCCATCTCATTTACATGCATCAAAGACCATCCAGGTCAAAGAAACATGGCAGTCATTTTAAAGTCTCCAAAACAAAAACATGAACATAGCATATTATATTGTGAGCAAACCAGACAGTGTACTTACCAAGTTCTTGTCTCGTGCCACCCACACCAGCACCATATTTAATTAAAGCACGTTGAGCAGCTTCAGCACATGGTCCAGAGTTCTCGGCAAAACCCAGGTAATTATAGGAGCCCAAATTAATGCACCGACTTGATTTACCAGTAATACTGCAGAACATCATATAAATAAAACAATCAGTTGTCGGTGTTAATGAAAGAATATATTAATGTCTATTTCCTTCCTATATTAAACTAAAGCAGTCAAACGTTATTAAAATCTCATTAGGTATATTATTAGTAATATTACAGAAAATAATTATATTTATATTCTTGCCTCATATTTCACTAATCACAAAATAATAAACACTGGCGAATCGGGAAAAAACATCAATATAGTGATAATTTTTTTAAGCTGCACTGGGGTACTCTGGGTCCCCTAGTATCACACAAAGTTTACCAGGTACCTCTGTGATTTTCAGTGGTCTTCCCAGTTCCTTGATAGAGGGATTCAGTAAATTTACATGTCATAAAAAGGTGTTCATGTGTTTCACTATATTCGTTACAGAAATTACAATGGTGTTCAGGGAAGCATTCTTTATTTACTTTGTGTAAATGTGTAAATTTGTATTGAAATTTGTTTTGTTCATTATTACCAACCAGTACGATGTACCATTGTGTATGCGTTTTTTTTCAGTGGTCATAATGACTTCAACAGAATTCAATACATCTTTACAGAATCACATTTCAATGCTTCTTAGTGCAGACAAAAACATTTTCTCTCAGTGTTGTAAAATTTGTACACTGTAAACATGAAGCCTCTGTAAAGATACAGCACATTCTAGCAGCACATTCCTATACCACAACGCTTTAAAAGGTGACTGCACCTCAAAGCAAGAATAAATATTCAAATCCAGATTAATATGCTTCATTGATTATAGTTACAGAATAAATAATATAATAGTGAAAAAAAAAACTACCAGTAGCTTTTTCCACCAACAACGGATATTTAACTAAAAATACATGTTATGGGGCTTTGTGATTTCCAAAATAGATATCAGTATTTTTGAATATATCATCAAATGATATGGCCAGGAACAAGCATATCCTTCTGATGTGCTTTCAACCAAAGCCATGCTTGGAAAGATCCCTCATGTAGCATATGAAATTTTATGAATGATACCTGAGATTCCTGTGAAACAGCAAAGAATTGTCTAATTATGAAAGATTTCAACCCTAAACTACTCCGGCATCTATGTACTAAGTTTCAATAAAATCTGACATTGAAGTGTTTTTGAGATATTAGTCGAAAAGATACATACAGACAGACAGACAGACAGACAGGGTAACTGCAAAGACTCCCATTGTGTGCTTTGCACACAGGAGTCAATAACACATGGTAACAACATTTTGTACTAAATTTCCAAGACTTGATCAAATTCAGAGAAATCTCAGTACAAACACACTTGCAGATAATTCTGAATTTATTACAGATTTCAAATCTAGCACAAAATACATTTCTAAGGTTACACTACCATTAGATTTGATATATATTCTTTTATATTCACTTTTAAAATCATTCACAAATCCAATTCACTACAAATATTTCAGATCTGTCAAACATAACAAAAGCATATGATCTATGCAGAGTTCCACTTTACATGTACTATATGCCACTCTACTAATATGACGATAGTATATAAAGTAACTATCAATTCTGGTCAGGAATTGACCATGAAGTTGTTTGAAAATCAAATAAACACAAACATTGTTAATCATATGAAGATCGGGATGAACAGCAAGCACTTACTGACATCATATCTGGGCATGTAGCAAGTGGAATCTTACATAGGTAATGAGATATCACTAGCATTATACCTAGGCATATAGTGAGTGGAAACCCACATACTGTAAAGGGGGTAATTATTCACTGTGTTTTAATTTAGCTTATTTCGCTGACTGGAAAAATGCGCTAAATTAAAACACAGTGAATATGTAAAATTTAGCATAGAACACATTATCTAAATGAAGAAACCGTGTATTTAAAACCCACTGAATATGCCTGAAATGGTAAATCAGTGAAATTTAAACCCAGTGAAAATTAGTCATTTTACAGTAGTTATCTGTGACATCCTATAGTGTGTGCATAAATGTAAATGAGAAATCACTAGCATTGCATTTAAGTGTAAAATGTGCACTAGATACTAGGTAGGTCGGCCATGTTTACTGACAATATATAATTGAAGAACATTTAACCAGGACATTTAGAGAGTTGTACTACTGAAACCAGTTCTATTCTATTTGGCTAACATTTATAATAAACACCACAATTTTCAACCAATCTTTTATTTAATAACATGGCAACAATAATTAGTTTAATGATTTTAACTGTAGCTATTCAATTTCTTTTTTAAAACAATTTTTCGGCCAGCTGTACAAAATGAAACAGTTGTACTTGCCTTGCATATGGCTATTAGAAATTAATTGCTTGTCTAGAACAGCAGCACTGCATTCAAACAAGGAACTAAAAGTATCCATCAACCAGGATAATACATATTCATTACTTTGTAACCTTACGTTACCAGTCCTAACTGTATGAAATAAGATACAAATGTCCAAAGTTACCAGATCACTTCCAGATAATTTCAACTTATAAATACATTTTTAAATAATATGTTACCGTAAAAGTTCCATCAGCTAGACCACTTTTTTATAAATATGATCTCTGAACATTCATAAAATTACCATTTTTGTGACGCCGGTATTCTAAGAACAAATGATTCAGTTTTCACAGTTTCTCCTGAAGCGATTGAACAATGTTTCGATAATGGCTGCTGCCACACAATTAAGTTGACCTTATACTTAACCTTTGACCCAGCAGGTCACCAACTAACCAATCAGAACCACAGTTTCTATTTACCACTTTCTAATTACTGATTTACAGTCAATATTCAGATTAGCTCAATTTCTAATCATGATTTCTAGTCTTTTGTTTTGGGCAATGATTTTAATGATGATTTTGATGGCAAGTTTTTTGACGAATTACCAAGTTACAAGATTTTATCTAGGATGCCATATAAGCAGTTTTAGTGACACTTGAGCATTCCTTTTGTCAAGCAACGCAAGTGCTAACTTGTTGTCAACATGTGTTACTACTGATCAGAGTATTATTTAGAAAGCATCATCTACTTACGAATCAACTTTTAATTGGGTCGAACTAACAGAAATAATTTGTTTTCTCTAGAAACGAACTAATGAAGTGGTTCAACTAATGGAGCTTTTATAGCATATTACAATTTAACTTTTTTTTTTTTAAAAAGTGTTTATTTTTTTTCCTGCAGTATATAAATATCTGGAATTATGACAGCTGTCAGCGTACCCCATGTCAGCATCGTAATTTTGTAGTATCGCATCCTACCTTATTAGGAAATGCAATTTCCAAATATGAAATTACACACCCACAGCTTGGCATGCATCCTACAAGAATAACAATGGCAGCTCTAAGGGCACTCAACTAAAAGATACATCATACAACTTGTCCATTCATGGATGGAATGGTTGGACTGATGCTACGGTGTAATGTTTTCATGCATACTTTGCTCTATCAATTTTTGATATTATAACATTATATTATCAACTTTTGTGTAATGACACTAACCCGCTCCACTCACATTTTGTATACTTAAATCTCATTGCTTGTGACTGTGGCAATAGATAATGTCAACAACTGAAGTACAGGGGAGTATGTGACTTGTGTTACTTACTTTAGGTGTAAATTGTTGTCAGGACTGACTCTCTCCATCACATCAAACCATGCACCGGGAGTGCTACAGATGGGTCTATTCACACAGTCTCTTACATATCGATACAGATTCCGCGTATAAAAACTCTCAAAATCACAATATAATGGAACAAAACCCTGTAGAAAAAAATATGGATATATGCAGTTTCAATACAACAGTACTTGAAGATCTAGGTTTTAAATATTAAGAAAAACCCTATTGGAAAAAAATACAGATTAGAGTATTAGTATTTTTCTTAATTATTTATTACTTTGAAGTACCCTTCGTAATTTAAAGCAAACAAATATAGTTTTATATTAACAGGACCTGGAAAATATTTTAAAAGTGCACTTGACCTGGGACTATAGTGTCATTTGTTATACACTACTTCATAGTTTTTGTCAACTAGTCAAAAACAAATTTGCTTAAAGGGGAACGACATAGAGCCTAATTTGGTGTTTGTATTTATTAAGTTATGTATATTGGTTATAAATTTGAAAAAAACAATTTTTTTAAATGATTATCTTGCGCCATCTTGCCATAAAATAAAGCCCGCATGAGGTATAAACAGGACAGGCAACAAAGCATGATGACGAAATAGTATCTGATTATATATAAACAACTTAGGGAGTCTGGATGCTGGAGTATGCAATCTTGAGTTTGTAGGGGGGGGGGGGATTCTCGTCCAGGTATTCACGGGGCTGCACTGGCAAATTGGCAATTGTCACAGGAACACCAAGCAGATTGTTCACAGACTTTCGCATAATTTTAAATAAAACTATCATCCGAACAAGTGGCATCGTTGACATCAGATAGATTCTCGTCACTCACACTGGAATGATCTGAATCTTCGCTAAGTTCACAGTCTACTGTACTTCCCTGATCATAAGTCCCGAGGCATGAACACGTAAAATCAAAAAGTAAGGGATGGGCTTACACTCGAGGACCACCTCAGAAAAGATGATTTTGTTTTTGGGTTAAACATTGTAACCATCTTGGCAACAACCAAAAATTATTCGAATTACATTTTTCGTTTACCACGCCGGGCTCGGGAAAATGATACTTCTTTTTGAAGAAAAAATACGTCATTGATTTCCACGACACTTTTACAATGAAGAAACAATATGTTCACATACATTTTATTATAATACGACTTACATACAGTCTGAATTTACAGTGTAATAATGGGTAGGGTCTGTGGGAAAACCGTCAATATCATTATCTTCGTTTTTGGTCATACGTAAACTCTCAAAACGACTTACATACCGTCTGAATTTACGGTGTAATAATGGGTAGGGTCTGTGGGAAAACCGTCAATATCATTATCTTCGTTTTTGGTCATACGTAAACTCTCAATACGACTTACATACCGTCTGAATTTACGGTGTAATAATGGGTAGGGTCTGTGGGGAAACAGTCAATATCATTATGTTCGTGAATGTGGAGGAAGTATTTAAACACCTTTCATGGTCGCTAACAGGTCACATCGTTCACACCCCTTTCATGATAGTCTTAAAGTAAACGATTAAGTAAAACCATGTCCAATAACCAGGTACACGACTTAACATTTACTTCAGTATTGCAACATCGGGGTTCATCCTGAGTAAATGATAGAATAGAAAGGATGCAAACCACAATGTGTAAGTTCGCCATGCACTCTGAAATTAAGTTTTATCACGATTATTATGAAATGAAACACTTTTTACACCCATATTTTAAAGAATATCGTCGATGCCCAGTTAATAATCGTGAATGCCCTCACCTTAAAATGCCTAAAAATACTCAGGAGGGGCTTACATCCAAGAAGTACGGTTCTTTGACGCAATTAGGTTAATACTAAAACGTCATAGCATAGACCCTCAACTTGTTGAGGGTCTATGGTCATAGCTTTGAAAAGTACCCGGATGTTAAATATGTTTGTTCATTATTTATTCTCCTCCATGAATGGCCTCCATGGTGTTTAATTGTAAGCATTTCAAATGCCTATCCAAGCTACAGTTATAATTAAAACAAAATCAAACCACTGCAATATTATTTCGAATACAGTTTAGAACATACACAACCATAAATTAAGGCCGCATTGAGGTTCGCTTAATGAAATAAATTCGAATCAGTGTTAGTGTAAAATTTAATAGATATAGTATTCATATGTACTTTTATTGCAGCTTATAATTTTAAGGTAGATGTGACAGAATTTAATTACTTAATGTTTTTTTTAGACTTTATGTCTTTTAACCTTGTTGTCTTGATGCTATCATCTCTGTCATGATTAGTTGACTTAGTATGACAAGTAATTATGTTGCCTTTTATCAGTTGTTTTACATTGAGTTTCTGACAATGTAGTCATGTATGGTAGGTCAACTCATAACAATTCCAATCTCTGTTTATGTATTACCAGAATAAACAGAGGTCAACTCTGATAAAGCATGGATGTAACCTTTTTCAGAACATTACACAGAGGTCATGCTGACACACAAAAAAAACACTGATCCAGTAATTCATATCAGTGTCACGGTCATATTTTTCAGACCCTAATTAGTTAAAAAACAAACAAAGACAAACAAAAATAAAAATATACAAGAGTTTCGGGTTTTTATTTATAGAGGCGATGGTCGTTATTATGCGTCATATTCGATATGGATTCATGCATCAACATTTGTATTCAATAACCACGCCTTTAAAGCTCATTTTGTGATTTGATCAAAAAGATATCATGCAAACTAGGTTCATTTCCAATCTACTACACACTGTGATTAAGATATCATCGTCATTACAAACCATTTCTTCCTCCAAAATGTCATTTTATTTTAGTTACATTATGTGTTACCAGTAACAATCAATTGTACAGCACAAATGTAAGCAACCTTTATACACAGTCCCCTCAAGTCTATGTGTAATGTGGGTATACAAACAACGTTACCGTTACACATGTACTGCAGTATAGATATCATCACAACAACAATTTTCTCTTAATTTTTAGTCCTATCGGAAGCAAATATTAGAATAATTTAGACAAAATAATTTGGTTTCAGACAAACATGGATCTACATTTGTACGTGTACACTTTTCCAGCTTGTGTATGGCTATATACATCTATTACTGTAGCATAGGGGACAATATAAAGCAGCAAGAACGACCTTTGCACTGCACACAAGCATGGTGAAAACATCAGGGTTCATGTAAAGAGCTGTTTGGCAGGCTATTAAAAATCTTTGTTCCATGAACAATTCACATTTACACAACCAGAGGCAATAAATGATGTCATTCACTTTTTTTGTTTGACCTTCCCCTACAACTATCTGCAGGAGTGTCATTGATAAGGATAGGAGATCAATAATGATGTTGAAAGAAACCCAGCGCTATATTTTTCATTTGTCATAGTTACCATCAGACTGACATGATAACAGCAGACCCTGATGTTAGTTCTTAATTTACATGTATTACATAAGCTTAAAATGGCTTCAATAAAATTACAGCAAATGAACATGAACTACTGTACTGTGTTCTGCCTTTAGAGGAAAGTCTATATATACATGTACCACTTGAACTTGAACTATGAATCAAATTAAAATTTAGGACGTTTGTGAATATCTATGACTTGGTCAGTATTGCAAGTGTGCT